AACGCAGAAAAATTATACAACGAAAGGAAAAATAAAAATAAACAAACCCATTTCTCGACAATGGTGAAGCAGGGTAAACAACAAGGTTTGATTTTTTATTTTCTTTCATTTTCTTGGAAACAGACCCATTTGGGTGTTGCTTAAGCTTGCAAAAAGGTTTATTTGTTGTAGAATTGCATGATTTTGAACATATCCTCTCATGGGTATTATGCCTCGACTTTATTCGGTGTTTTCCCTAATCATTAAATCGGTTCCAATATCTGTTTTTCTGTTGTTTGGGTTTGCAAATATCATTTATTTGTTGTCGAATTTCATGATTTTGTAACAGTTTCCTCATGGGTATTATTCTTCGGTGACATTAGCATGTCCCCAAAGGGTTTAACAAGGGTTTCATATAGGATATGGGAAAGAGGCTTATTGTATTTTTCGTACTGGTTCTATAGTATGTGTCATGGACAGTAATGGTATTAATAATGCATTTAGATGGTATTGACACAGGGTACTCGAAGTACTGTCCCGAAAGCATTTAGATGGTATTGACATATGGTACTAGAAGTATAATGTTTGATGCTTCTGTAGTATAAGTCATATGCCATAATAGTATTACTAGTGCCTTTGAATGGTATTACTAGTGACTTTGGATGGTATTGACATATGGTACTAGAAGTATAATGTTTGATGGTCCTGTAGTATAAGTCATATGCCATAATAGTATTACTAGTGCCTTTGAATGGTATTACTAGTAACTTTGGATGGTATTGACATGTGGAACTTTATAGTACGTTGTATTTGTTATAATTGTAGTTTTATGTGTATGTAATTGCAGGAATTGATGTAAAAGAAGATTGCAGTCAATGATCAAAGCGTACCATATTTTTTGATGAATTGAATTGTACCAATTTCATTGACGCTTTAATGATCAATAAGTACGGGAGATGCATAAATTATGTTTTCGATGGTTATTTTAAGGTAGGTGAGAATTATTGTTGCGTTTGGAATACAAGATCCCATAAATATGTTGAATTTCATACATGATACTCATATACTATACAATATATTCATACAAGTCTACAATGCTCAAGTGTAAAACTAATATTTTCTTCAATTGTTACCATAATCGATATTGATCAACTCCCACATTGTCTCCATTCATTCTTAATAGTCTTAAAATGAAGAGTTGG